TTATTTTTCTTCTTTTGTTTATCAGAAGTGTTTAACTTACCATTTCTATTATTCTCACGAAAATAGAAGGAGCTACCCCTTCCTTGTTTTCTTTCTAATTTTAAAAACTTTTTGAATTTTTTTGAAATGAGAGCAAATCCTTGATCGAAATCATTTTCGAATCCTTCATCATTTATGACTCTTCTCGGAAGCCTCAAATGCTAGAGTTTTATTTCTCTTGTACTATCCTCGTCACCTTGAGCTTTTAAGGCAATTTCATGACTAATTAGAGATCCTATCAGATTTTCTATATTAAGAGTAGACAATGTTTTTGCCTCTTCTATAGTAGTTTTCTTAGGCATCCATTCTTTGGGTAACACCAAAGAATTTTCCTGACCAACTCAGCATTATCATAGGTTTTTCCTAAAGCGCCGAGTCTACTTACAATTAAGCAGAGCTGTCAAAATTGAACTCGACCCGATTAACCCACCCAATCCACCCGACCCACAACCCATCTATAACCCGATTTGACAAAAAGTCAACCACCCGAAGCCCGCCCGTAACCCGAAACCAATTGACCCGTAATCCGATCTACCCATAACTCTATGAACTCGTTATCTGATCCAACTCATAACCCGAATGATTCATAACCCAAATAACCCGTAACCGAACCCAACTCGAATAACCCGAATAACCCATTTGACCCGAATACTTGTACAAAAATTCAATGTATACATGATTATATTTTTAAATTTGCCAAGAAAGAACTGTTGTTCTCATAATAATTGAAAATTATTTGAAGAATTGATGGTATAAATTGAGGTTTTTCTTAATATTTAATTTTTAAAATAATAAAATGTGAAATATCTTTTCATTCATTTTTTATTTTATGAAATTTAAAGGATAAATTTTTGAAGATAATAGGAAGAATTAGACAAATATTCCTATCTCCACCACCCATAACTATATTAAAAAATCAACCCTTGAAAATCAATGAAATCCCCAAAATCATAAAAGATCAATGATCCTATCAAGATATATAAGTGGATAGTTTACACTTTTTACTTCATTCTTAATTTTTTACTGATTTTATTTATTTTTTATAAATTAATAAATCGACGATTCGAACTAGATGATAATATCATATTTGAGCGAACGTTGTTCGACCCATGAGTTTTAGGATGATATATTACCGTGAATAATAAAAATTGTGAAGATATATAAGTAGGTGATTCAGAATGATGTTCATAAGTCTTCATGGAAATATCCACTTATTTACTTCATTCGAACTAGATGATAATAAATTAATAAATCGACGATTCGAACTAGATGATAATATCATATTTGAGCGAGCCGTTGTTCGACCCATGAGTTTTAGGATGAGATGTTACCGTGAATATATAAAAAATTGTGAAGATATATAAGTAGGTGATTCAGAATGATGTTCATAGTCTTCATGGAATTGAAGAGACACACATCTAGTTCATAGTATATTTAATTAAGACGATTCATTCCGAGATGTATAAGCATATAGTCCACCTTTTTTACTTCATTCTCAAATTTTTACTGATTCAATTTTCTTATAAATTAATAAAATAAGTGAAGTTACAATCTCTCACCATAAACAAAAAAATTATAACCAACAACAAAGCTTTTATATACACTATTTTATTTATATTTATTTTTATAATAACATAATGGATATTTAATTTGTTTGTGTGAAATATTCATATATAATTTTTCTTAAATTTGTATCATTACCTATAATTTATATTCATATATTGATAGTTTGTAAAACATTATTTTCTGTCAAGAATTAAATGATCCAATGGGTGACCCGAATAACCCATAATCTGACCTGACCGAACCCGAATTAACCCGCAATCCAATAAACTCGTAATTTGATGCACCCGTAACTCGACCCGATCCGTAACCCAATTGGCTAGTGACCTGATTGACTCGTAACCCGATTGACCTGCAACCCAATTAAACCCGATCCAAATTGAAACCGACCGATTGAACTCGCAACCCGATTGAACCCAACCCGGTTAGACTCAATCCGAACCCGACCCAACCCCCAATTGACACCTCTACTATTAAGTTAAACCGAACATACATATAAAAAATAGGCATTTTGAATTTGATATTCATGCACCAATTGATATATCCTGGATTCCTTTACCTCGGTTGTCCCTTCATGTGATACTTTCAAGGTTTCCTGATCTGATGTGTCGTCTTAAACCGATTCACCTTATTGAATTCATCTGGACATATCGCACAATTCAAAACATTTGTTGCTTTAGCATCTAATTCCATCTTCTTTAGATCATCGTTTGGCCATGTGTAGGGATCATCTTTAATATCACCCACACCATTCTCCACCACATTCCAAACGTCAAAACCCCTTCCCTTGAAGAAAACAATCATACGTGTTTTCAAAAAGAATAGTTGTATCCATCAAACCTGGTGGCCTATTATGTGAGAGACCCTCCATATGAGTGGAGTTGAACCATGATTCGAAGATGACCCACTAGCCATGCTTGGTATATCAGATCTCAGTTTCCTCGCGGATCTTTCGATCTTTTTGAGGGAGCCGGCTCTGATACCACTTGTTAGACCAAGAGGGGTCAATAATGAATACTTTTGACGTGATCAATTCACAAATTAATTCATATTTCAATAGTGAGAGATTAGCACTAGCTTGATTGAGCAACCCAAAATGGTTTGCCAAGAATCTCTCTTGAAATGATTAATTTATTATGACACACTTGTTCCAATTGTGATAGAAGTTTTCACTTCGTTGTTAAACGATAGGAGCAAGGTTAGAGGAAGCGTAGAGAGAGAGATATGAGTCAGGACACACGATTTTAACGTGGTTCGGCCAATATTGCTTCACAATCACGTCTCGGAGATAGTCACCACTATCTCACGAGAGACTCTAACTTTTATTAAAATACAAGACTCTCTATCCTATGAAATAAAAACAACCTTGACACTACGTTTCAAGAACCAAATAGGTGCAACTCCACACCTATTCAACCCTTAGCTAAATCCAAGCTAAGCTACCCACTCAATCAATCAAGCCAACACTCTTAGTTTAGCTTGACGAAGAGTAATCCTCCTAGTGCAACTTCCAAGCAAGAATCCCCTCTTGCTCTTGCACTAGTCCAATTACAAATACCCTTTGTACCCTAAAACCCGACCTAGCTTGACTATCTCAACCTCTGAGATATCAAGCTATTCACACCACGAAATATGATCACACTATTTCGCTAACAAGGGAGAAGAGAACTTTGCAAAAGGTACTCTAGCCTACAAATGACTCCACTATTTATAGTAGATGCGAGAACCCATTTCCTTTCATTTGTAGTCCTTGTATGACAAGTATCTCCTTAATTTGCTACACTCTTCGCTTGATAAGGTAACTCCTTTGAGAGCAAGCTATCACTTTGAATTCTTTCCTTTTCCTAGCAAATCCTTTCACCTTAACCTTGATTGTGATATTTCTGCATAGATTTGCTAGTTCAACATAATAGCATATATTCAAAGCATATTACCCTATGATATTAGAATTGCTAAGTCAAGCTTGTTGACTCAAACATATATTACGTCAAATTTCTTATGGTACAAACTATAGTTGTACCTGAACCTCACGACACAACTTTAATTTGTACCTACACATTTTGTCAAATTCCTTATGGTACAACCTAAACTTGTACATGAATCTTAGGGTACAACTTCAAGTTGTACCTACACCTTTCATCAAATTACTTTATGGTACAACCTAAACTTGTATATGTACCCTATGGTACAACTTTAACTTGTACTCACACCTTTTAAACAAATTTCTTTATGGTACAACCTTAACTTGTACCTTAATCTCATGGTACAACTTAAGTTGTACCTACACATTTCATCAAATTCCTTGTGGTACAAACTGTAATTTACTTTGAACCTCATGTTACAACTTTAACTTGTACCTACACATTTTATCCAATTCCTTTGTGGTACAACCTAAACTTGTACTTTAATCTTATGGTACAACCTCAACTTGTACCCACATTTTTGTCAAATTCCTCTATGACAACCTAAACTTGTACTTTAATCTTATGGTACAACCTCAACTTGTACCTACATCTTTCATTAAATTCTTTTAGGGTGTGTTTGGATAGAAGGATTTGGATTTGATTTCTAAATGTCCAATTCTTTGTTTGGATATTAATTATATTTGGTATTTGGATTTGTGCCAAATTCATGGGGTGATTTCCAAATACATGTCTAGTGTATTACTTGTCAACTTCAAATATATTTCAACAACTAGTGATTTGAAATACCTCCTACAAAAGATTGGACCTATTTGTAACATTTTAAAAGTTTAGGTACTATAGTGTGAGACAAAACATATAAAGGTACCAAAACATAATTCTACACCAAATTTATGGACCTTTTTGTAAACTTATAAAAGTTTAGGTACTAACATATAAGGAAAAATAATTTTGGGTAACAAAATATATTTACCATAATTTATAATAAGTGACCAGAAAATTAAAATTAAAAAAAATATCATAAAATATGAAATATAAACAAATTTTAAATGAGTATCCAAACAACGAATTCAAATGTTATTTTTATTACATGCATTTTAAATATATGTATTCCAAATACTTTACATTTGAAATACACCTATCCAAACACACCCTTATGTACAACCTAAACATGTACCTTAACCTCATGGTATAACTTAAAATTGTATCTACACATTTCGTCAAATTTCTTTATGGTAC